TGGATGTGTGAGAAGAGTGGTCGTCCTCCTACAGGTCCACAGCTCCAACATGCTATTAAAAGAAACTTTGGTGGCCTTGATGACTTTAACACTTATGAAATTGTTAAAAATTATCTTCCAAACATTGAAAAAGTACCTGAACTATCTTCTATAGGTCAAGTAAGCAATTTAATGATAATAGTTCAATGTGGATAATAATTATTAGGATCATGAGTTGCTTAATCCTGACTGTACTCCATTGGGTCTTATTAGGAAAAGTCTCCAAACTAAAGAAACATCATGGCATGAGTAAGTATGAGCGATATTAAGTTTGTCTATGTACGACAAAAGATAGAGAACTTTTTTATTTCTTTTAGTTTTATTTTGTGATTTTTTCATTTATAGAGAGAATCGTTATTTATTATTTTTAACTGAGAATTATGCTGCTCTACAAGTCATCAAGCACTTTCTTCATGAAGAGATTGGCATAAAGCTTGACAAATCTTTAGAAGCTTTGTCTTCAAGAGGTAATAGTGAGCACAGGATGGAGCCTTTTGTACTGTTTGGGAGCTCATTCCCTAAAGACAGAGAGTACACTCAAGTGTGTCGTAACATTAATCTGATTAAAATATGTATGGAAACCGGTCGTACTGTCATCCTCCTTAACCTTAAGAACCTGTATGAGAGCTTGTATAATTTACTAAACCAGTATTATATAATACTAGCTGGAGGACAGAGATATGTTGATCTGGGACTACAGACACATAGAGTGAAGTGTCGAGTACACAATGACTTTAAGTAAGTTTATTTTGTGTATTTTTGTATTATAAATACTGCTCCTTTGGCTTTGTAGTGCTTTAATTATTTTAAATACATTTTTAGGTTAATCCTAATAGCAGAGATGAGTACGGTATATGAGAAGTTCCCTCCTCCATTGATCAATAGACTGGAGAAACACATTCTGCAAGCTGAGATTGTACTACAAGAGGAATGGCAAAAGGAAGTGCATATGAAATTAACTTTCTGGGTTGAACAATTCAGCAAAATTAATGGCACTAAGAAAAGGTGAGAGAGATAAGCAGAGCAAAAGAAACAAGAAATAGAGCCTTTAATATTTTGTTTGCTCAATTTTTGTTTTTTATTATAAAAGCCATTTTTTATACCATAGTCTTTAAATATGCTCAAATGCTCATAGCTCAACAATTGCATATATGGCCAGTTATAGGGAACCACAACTTAAATTTAAATGGTAAAATCCAAGTCTTGTGGGCCTGTAAGGTTTTAATAATTCAGAGCAAGTGTTGAGGGCATCAACTCACCAAAAAGAGGCCTATGAGTACAACTGACATTGTAAGAAATATTTCCCATTTTAAAATTGGTTCCAACAATGTAGTAAGTAACTTGCTATGGTTTATTACTGCATAACAGAAAAATAATGGGT